CAACTTTCGATTGCAAGCTAGCCCCAACATCTACACGTGCAAAGAAGATTACAGAGTCCATCACCGAGTTCATTTGCCAGGATTTGCGACCATATAGTGTGGTGGAGAACCGTGGGTTCAAAAAAATGATCAGCACACTGGAGCCTCGTTATATAATCCCGAGCCGGAAACAGTTCACTGAAGTATTGGTCCCACGGATGTATGATGAGGTGAAACTACAGGTAAAAAAATCCCTGGACTCCGCCGAATGCATTGCTCTAACGTGCGATGGGTGGACTTCACGAGCCACCGAGTCATACATCACGATTACATCTCACCACATAAACGATAGCTGGGAATTAGTTTCCCATGTATTACAAACCAGAGCTTTGTTCGAGTCTCACACCGGTACCAACATTGCACAGGTGCTTAGAGCAGCACTCGAAGAATGGGATCTGACCGACAAAGACCCTGCAATAGTGACGGACAACGCGTCGAACATGAACATTGCTGCTCAGCTGGCCAATGTGCTACGTTTCAGGTGTTTTGCTCATACACTAAATTTGGCATCCCAGCGTGCCCTGAAACTTCCCGCTGTCACTAGATTGCTAGTGAGAGTAAGACGGGTGACAACTTTTTTCAGACGCAGCACTGTTGCGTTCCATGTACTGCGTGAGAAGCAAGCTTTGTTGAACCTCCCTCTCCACAAATTGATAACCGATGTTGCTACCCGCTGGAACAGCGCACACGATATGCTGGAGCGCTTTTTAGAGCAACAGCCTGCCATCCACGCTGCGCTCCTGTCTACCGAAGTACGGAAGTCTGAGAAGGAAATCTGCACACTCACCGATTCTGACATAACAACTGCAGAGGAGGTTGTCGCTGCAATGAAACCTATGAAAGTGGCTACACTCGCCGTATCAGAGGAGGCCAGTCCAACGCTATCGATTGTAGCGCCACTCCATGCCCAACTCATCCATGAGCTCCAAGACAAACCGAGTGATTCCACCTTGACAAGGGAGCTAAAAACCGCAATGTACCAGGATCTTAACAAGAGATACTTAAACGAAAAGGAAGCTCTGTATAAAGCATCGGCTCTTGATCCCCGTTTTAAGGCCTTGCCTTTCCTTTCCGAGGATGAGAGGGAAGATGTCTACAATGGAATAACTGCAGAAGCTACCAGGACCAAGTGGGCATTACAGGTAATATTAACATCAATACAGTTGGAATTTACTATAGAAATATAAAATATAAACATATATATTCAGTTTAAAAAGCATAAATAAGTAAGAAATACATATTTATAACTCAATTCATGAATAAGTAAATCCATCATAGATAAATGCAGATGTCATTGATAATGTGTTGTGCAAAATAAAATAATTGATAATTCTGAAGATTGTGTTGATTTACTGTTTTCTAGCAAAGCACAAGTGGACTTCAGTCAGACTCAATGGACGTGGACAACGGCAGCCCAAACCCTAAACAAGAAGACATGTCTGCTGCATCTTCATCAAAAACATCCAAACGTTGTTCTCTAGCGGACCTACTTGGACAGGCGTATGGAGCTGGAGCAGCGGGTTAGTTTAAAAATATGCTATTTTTTTTTTTATTTAAAAAAATAAATAAAAATATGCTATCAAAACATGCTGAAAGAAATATTCTTAGTGAGTGTTTCCTAATTTAAGGATGCCCCACAAACTATATATGCATAATATGGTATTTAATTATAGTGTAATGTAACAAATAACATGATGATGATGATTTAATGTTCTGAGTAATATAGTGTATATATCTTATATATATATTTTTTTTTTTTTTTATTTTGATTATTATCTTGTCCTCCCATACTGCAGGTCCTGCAAAGAAACTAAAAACTGCTGAAGACCAGGCAAAAGACGAAATGGCAAGATACAAGGAGGAAGCATCCCTAGCCCTTAGTGATAATCCGCTTGGCTGGTGGAAAGAACATGAGAGCCAGTATCCTTTTCTGTCTCGAGTAGCTAAAAAACACCTGAGCATTCCAGGTACTAGTGTCCCCTCGGAGAGAGTTTTCTCTACTGCAGGGGACATTATCACTGCCAAAAGGAGTGTAATTTCCCCTGAGCACCTTGACCAGCTTCTGTTCCTAAACAAAAACATTAAGCACTAATAATGGTATTGTAGCTGTTGCCTTTGTACTTATTACTAGTTCAACACTTGTTCATTTGTTTTTTGAGTGGACACTGGGCACATGCAGTTAATGCATTTCACTGCAAGGGATGTTTGCAATATATATTTTAATTTTTGATAGTTTTTTTAAAGCCTATGCACTTTTTTGTCTCAGTTTGTTCTCTTGTGTTTATGAAATGATATTGTTATGATGGCAGCTACTTCCAAAATGTTTTCATTTTATTGAGTTAAAGGACCACTGAGGCCTAAGCACTTTTTGTCAATGTGTCCACTACAACAACAGTAATATTTGTGTCCAGTTACAGTAATATTTGTTTTCATGGCAACACCTCCAAAAGTGATTTTAATAAATACAGTTATGGATGAATGCAGTTGCTTTCAGTTATTTATCAATTGGAAGACACTACCCAGATCATACTCAGCCAGTCAGCCACTTGTAATGGCTGTATTTTTTTCTAACAGTGTTCAGTGAAAATATTGCAATGCATCGCAATATTTCAAGTATCGTGATGCATCGTGATATAATCGCATCGTGGCATGTGAATCGTGATTCGAATCGAATCGTGAGTTCTTTGGCAATACCCACCCCTACCAGTGACAGAGATTCTGCTGGATGGAGACTCTCCATGACCACTGATGTCACACCTGTAGAGGCCTTCATCAGAGCTGGTCACATGGTGGAGGGTCCTTTTACCCAAGTTTTTGCTAATGAATATATCATCTTTATAGAAAGCAGCAGTGAGGTTGGAGGGAGTGGTCTTTGTTAGACAGCTCAGAGTGACGTCATCTCCCTCCATCACAGGGAGGACAGGACTCTGCAGGATCACTGATCCACCTAAACACAGAGACAAACTACAGCATTTCATCCATTTCCACACAGCTTCATCAACACTAACTCCACAGTCTGATCTTACCAGTGATAGTGAGCTGGATGCTGCTGCTGGCTGCTCCCTCTCTGGACGAACACCAGTAATCTCCACTGTCCTTTTCTAAAACACGCTTTATTTTACAGGAAGAATCAGCTGGTTTCCCCCATCCATCTCCACACTTAGTCCTGGTTCCTCTGGTTGTGTTCCTCCAAACACTCCATTCAGCTGAGCTGCCGTCCGTATCACAACTCACAGACACAGATTCATATTTAAAGAACTGAAATCTGCTCGGACTCACAGTCAGACCAGCTGGAAGAAAAAGGGGGACACAAATACAGTCTTTAAAAGAAATAGGGACTACATAACTTTAATTAAAAAAAATAACAACTTGATTAGAATGAGAATGCATAAAATTTGGAATGCATAAAAACCAAGCTTCTTTCATTGTACTCGGATTAATTGATACACTATATCATATTTATATAGCGTCAATTCACAACATTTGTCATCTCAAGGCCCTTTACAGACAGAATTGAACAAGATCATACAGACTTAGACAACCCGAGCACTGCCTAGTTTGATTACAAGAAGGCTTAAAACTCAATGCCACATAATACTTGGATCATTGAATGCTCATAGCTATACAACATGAACAGGAGCCTTCATTGCAAACTTAATGAGGTTGTGGAAAACCACCTTTGAGGCAAATGGCAAGGGACTTGCACAAGTCTCGATCAAATGTGGCATATACTAAAAAGATGCGCTGTCCCCACTGCTATTCTGCATGGGTCTGAACCCCCTCAGCCAAATAATCAAAAAGACTGGCTTTGGATACTGACTCAGAAATTGGGCCACCATCAGTCACCTCCTCTACATGGATGACACTCAAGCTGTATGCTTAGAATGAGCGAGATATTGACTCAGTGATCCATACCACCCGGATCTTCAGCACAGACATCGGGATGTCATTCACACTAGAGAAGTGTGGTCGGATTGTAACTAAGAAAGGGAAGGTCTGCCTTAGGAAAGGAGGAGGGAATGAGTAGCTGAGATCTCGGGCAAGCAGTGCGTAAGTAAAATGGCAACATACAGGTAATTCAATAACAATTCCACTCGGGTAAGTACAAGCCAATAATTGTAAATCAAATTAAGTCAGGTTTAAACTTTACCAATTGTCCCGTATTTCCGAGGAAACAAACTGGAAGCCGAGACCTTGACAAGCCTGGAGAGCTACCTGGACGAGTGTTTTGACAACATCGTAACCAGTGCTGCTTCTACTTTGTCTCCAGACAGGAGCTACAGAGATGTCCTGAAATCCATCAACAAAAAGCTAACCAGCCTGGACGCCCACCTCACCTTGGTAGAAGTCCTGCATTAGGAGTTTCAAGCTCTGAGAGAGTTGCTAGAATACAGCAAAGCGCAGCTAGCCTCTGTTAATGTCATAAATAAGGCGCTGGCGGGGGAGGTCATCAACTGTGCGGTAAAAATAAGAAGATTAAAGAATTCCTTCTGGACATTCAGTTGCGGAGCATGAGATACAATCTCGTCTTCGCAGGAATCGTAGAGTGGCGGGAGGAGGATCCCGAGGTGACAATTCGGGAGTTCCCCCACCAGAAGCTAAAAATCCCAGGGGACCAGGTAAAAAACATCACCTTCCATCACATTCACCGTCTCCAAGGTAAGAAGCCTGACAAAACCCGTCCTAGACCAATCCTAGTTAAGTTTGAGCATTTCAAACAAAAAGAGCAGGTCAGGAGTCAGGGCAGAGAGCTGAGAGGAACAGATTTCAGCGTTAATGACCAGTTTCCAAAGGAAATATTAGATCGTAGGCAGGCATTATTCCCAAACAGGAAGAAATATATTAGTGAAGGCATCAGAGCTACAGTAGCAGGTGACAAAGTTTATGTTAATGGTCAGCTGTTCAGGAATCAGAAGATCACTCCTTGGATTTATTAGATGCACACCAGGTGGATATAAAACATGTGACTCTTGATAAAAGTGCATAGAACGGATCTTGTGATGAATTAACTATATGCACAGCTCTAGAGCACGTTGGCACAGTATGGTTGTTAGTCACAGATGGGTACAGGCAGCATGGGCTGGGGTTATTTTTCTTTCACCTTTTCTTACTCATTGCACTTTCTTAATTCTCAGTCTTCCTTTATCTTATTCGGCTGCTTCTTCCTTGTGGTCTGTTGGGATATATTAACAAAATGGAGCCAAAATCAGTTCGATGATCTGAAACCATCCCCCTCCTCTTCTCCACAAAGGAGAACAAAGAGTTCCCGCCAAAACAAGAACAAAGAAGACCCGGCCCACTGTGGGAGGCGGCCACCTCAAACAGACCAATCAGCCGATACTCCAACAGGAAGTGCCCCCCACGTCACTCAAGGTTTAAAAGCCAGCCACAAACAGATCTTCTCTTTTCCGTGGGTCACGGCCCAAAAGGGTAGGCTCATTTCACGTGAAATAGCAGAAGAAAGCTAACTGGAAGTAGCTTTCGTTTCTCCTGCGTCAAAAGTCACGGATCGCAGTGTTCCATCGTGTATAGCGGCTGCGCCAACTGGGGAGACAGAAGCTTGGGAGCTGTGTGTTTTTCCCCTTTTTGTGAGGATCGGCCGGAAGGACGCTTTCCGCCGATTACTTCTGCAAAATCCATCCTCTTCGACTTGTGAGCATATCAAGCCCTCTGCTGTAGCATCGAACTGACTGGACTTTCCCGAGAGCTGATCTGGACTGAGGGGCTGAAGGAGATCCGCCCGGCCGGAGCCAGACCACGTGCTCTCTTGGAACTTCCCCGCTCCTTCAGGCACCGGACAGCTCACAGTAAAGATATTTTCTTTCCTTTTTTAAGCATTAATGAGGTGCTGCACTCGGGCGAGAGACAGGCAGATTCAGGGATTTGAATTAATGCTGATTTTTTTAATCTGTGCTGATCAAGTGTTTGTTCATTTGGTTGAAATAAGTGTGTTGTGAAAGCTGCGAGTGATACTTCTTTATTCTCTTTTTCTTGGCTTTCCTATCCTCTTTTGTTTCCGCTTTGAGATAGTTATAGTGTTATCACCTTCAGCCCTGTGGGGCCACGCGGTCGGAGCCATCTTGATTACAGACTGTTCCTCCCCCATTTTTCTTTGTTCCTCTCACCACGTGGAGAAAGGGGGGAGTCCCTCATTTAGCTACACCCCTTCACACACACAGCTACATTGTCCGTTAATGTGTTTTGCTAAACGACTTCTGTTGCTATTGTTAATACATTTTTAATCATTTTACCAATATTAAGCTGGATGTATTAAATTTTACATGAGTAATTGCACTGTTATCATACCTGCTGCTAACGGACATTAGTGAATGTATTAATATCTGGCATATTTTGGACATACCTGGATTTTAACAGCCGGTCCAGGAACCCTCCAGAGGTGAATCCGCAACCCGGTAAGTAGATAATTCAGAGCTACAATTATCCACCTAAGAACACTAAATTGATTTTACCTTCGATTTTGAATAGGATAAATAATTAATTATAACTCCAGTTCTAGTTAACCATCTATTCATTATCTGCAGGACATTATTTTGCACAACAGGTCCAAACAATCACAAGCACACAGTTAGATGCTACCTGGGTCTAGTTATAACTATTAATTCAGAGGCATGTACTTTTCATCTTTTCACTCACACCTATGGTGAATGTAAGGTTTGTGACATGGAATGTGGATGGAGCTGGCATCAGAGAGAAACAGTTTAAGATTTTTAACCAGCTTAAAAGATTAAATGCAGATGTTGTCTTATTGCAAAAATCAGCTCCATCATGTAGTGTAGTGGGGGGCTGTGGGGCTGGTTTGGGGGTCCTTTGGTCCTGGGGGGCTCGGGGGTCGCTCGGGGTTGGGTGCCTGGTGGGTCTGACCCCGGGGTCTGTTACTCCCATCGGGGTGGGGCTTGGGATGCCCTGGGGTGTCCTATAGCGGCAGTGGGTTACTGGCCTGGTAGCTGTGCTGCCGCTGGGTGGGTCCGGGGGTCTGCAGTCCCTGGGGTGCGTTGCCGTTGGGCGGGTGCCCCATTGGCATCGGGGGTTCAGGTTCTGTGGTGGAGTGCTGCCCTAGGTCTAGGCCGGTGTACGTCCGGCTGGCCAGCCCGCATGATGCATGCGTATCGGCCCTGGTGACTGGATGGGTTGTGGGCCCTGTCGCCGGGCTATGGGATTGGTGGGGGTTTACTGTACTGGACACCTCCTTTTGGTACTCCCACTTTTAATTATACCTGCGAGCAACACGCAACAACACCACATTCGAGCAGATGCAGGGAGGATCGGGGTCTTCTCACACCCCTGTTTTCCGACTGCCACCTGGAGTCTGGGGCCCGGAGGAAGAGAGAGCCGCCTGGACCGTGGTCTTGGTGCCGGGGCTGTCACTTCTGCTCTCCCCAAAGGAGGATGGAGGGAGGGGCGTGTAGCAAGTGGAGGGGAGGAAGTGGCAGGTTGAATTAGTTAGGGGGGGTATAGGGGCTGTGGTTGGGTGGCATGTGCGAGGCATGTGGGCCCCAATCCTAGGGGGGGTTTGCTGGGGTGGGGGGCCGGGCCTGAAGCAGAAACGAGATGGATTGGTGTGGCGGTGTCACAGCTCCCCTCCCCCATCCAGATTTTAAGTTCACTTATTGGGTCATCCGATAATCCCGGGACAAACCACTGGTGCCGCCGGGTGTTTGGTCCTGGTATTATTGGATGTGAGTGTTATGTGTGAATGTGCTTCCGCATTTTTTTACCTCCAGGTTGGGGTCTGAACTTCTCCCTCTCCCAAGCATATCTCAAGTCTTGGTCAAGTGCGGAGCCCATTTCCCCTGTCCTGCCCTCCCTCTGCTGGCTGGCGCCTGGGCTTGCCGATTTACTGGTGGAGCTCAGGGTTTGGGGGTGGATGTTTGGGTGGCTACTAGCTTATTCCTGGCACTTCTTCGCGGGGCTCGGCCTGCCGGGGCCTGCCTGGGGCTCCCGCCGGGGGGTGGGGAACCCCGTGGCTCCCGGGGGCATCGCGGTGGATGAGGGACTTCCTCAGGGCTGTCTCTCCTCCTCCCTTGGTGGGGGTTGGATATCCTGGGTTGGCCCCTCCTTGGCGCCTTCACTCTTGTGGTCCCTTTGGTCGTCTGGGGCTTTGGGTCTTCCGGCGCTGGACTCAGTGCTCTCGGGGGGCACCTCTTCGGCTCTCCACAACCACTATTGAGCAGTTTTCCTACGATAAACTTTACATGCTTAAGTGCACTTTCACAAAAAACTACAGGTGCTTGGTTCTAGGTACTTAGAGATTCACTTCCATACAGAAAGC